CGAACGGTATGTCGTATGACCACCAAATTTTCAGAGAATGGTGTACTAGTTAAAATTTATCATATCTACAATTTTTATGTCGTTATGATGTAATATGACGTCATTATGACGTCATTAATGTGATTTTATTGGCCAAAACCGTCTAAATAGGTTTTTCCCTGAAAACTCAATGGTATTCAACATAACTGTACCAAAAGTGTTTATGACAGAATATTATGGTGTACTAAGTCTTATGTTGCCCATAGCAACACCGGTGACGTCATAACATGACGTCATGCATACTTAAGATATCCGCCATCTTGGATCATCAATCTTGAATTTTCCAAAATAGTTTTTTTTCATGATAAAGCCTAAAATACATCGTAGACATACTAAAGGCCTTCATTTAAACCTTTTTTGGAAAAAGAAATGGAAGTATTGATGAAATTTCAATGAAAATAACCTGTATATACCTGTTCTAATGATATGGTCCGCCATCTTGGATTTTGGCCAATGACGTCATCAAATTAGCATAAATTATGCATATTTAATGATAAAATTTACATAAAATTATATGGGGTGTTATTAATATTAGAAACCATGAGTAACTTGACATAAAACCCATAAAATTCTATTGTTGAAACAAAAAGTACTAAATTTAGCAAAAAATGCCTGTCAGAAACCCGTTGCCATGGCAACACAAAAAATTCTTTTCTTAATCCAATGATAGAGAATTGTTGCCAACAATATTCTAGGAAAAGTCACCAAGTTTGGCCGTTCTACGGCTAGCCGTTCAGACGCTAGGTGACATCAAAGTTGCCGCGGGCACTTTTAGCCCCCCCCCCGGTCCTAGGTAGGGTTAAACGAAAAGTGTTTGAATGCACACGTGAACTGGTGCTTTAGCACGCACGTGTACTATGTGTGTGTGTGTTTGTGTACGTGTGTATATGACTGTATGTGTATGTGTGTTTATACATGTATTTGTGTCTGTATGCTTGTGTGTGTATATGTGGGTGTACAGCATGTGAGTGTGTAAATGTGTATGTGGTTTGTGTGTGTGTGTGTGTGTTTGTGCCTGTATATATGTCTCTCTGTGTGTCTGTGTTTGTGTATGTGTGTGTACATACTGTAATTCACTTTATGTTCACGGTAGCAAAAGTTCACGGTCTGAGAAAAATAGACATGTTCACGGAACTATATGTTCACGCTGGAGACAGCAGGTGCAGGAATAAGAAAGTTCAGGAACTATTTGTTAACTGTAATGATAAGTTCATGGTGCAGAAGTGACAGTGAAAACAATGAACATAAAAGTACCGTGAAAAAATCAGGAATTACAGTGTGTGTGTGTCTGTGTGTGCATGCACGTGGCTTGTAAGAATGGCTAAACATTGTCGCCCTCAATTCAGCTAACGAATGCCACAAAAATGTACTAGTATTTATGAATATCCATCAGTAGTTTGCATGTTTTGACGTAAAGAAATTTTCTTTCTCCAACTTTTCAGAGATTGAGAGCGGATACTGCACCAGTATGAAATGGGACGCTGAGGATCCACGATGTGCCAAAATCATCCTGTCGGGAAAAATCGTGACTGTTCCCCAAGACGAAGCCGACTTTGCAAAGAATGCCCTGTTCTCTAGGTATGGGTTATGTCTGAACAATACATGCCATTGGAACAGTTATAGCCACTGTCACACATTCATTAACTTCTCCGAACGCCAGCTGACCAGATTTAAGCCATGCCTACCTTTCTATACGAATCGAAATGAATTTGAGTTAATTTTTGTCAAATTTGACCCAGGAACCCACCCCGAACACTGCTGGCTTACTTCCGATTGGTTGATCATGATGTTTTTTTTATGTTTACGGAAGAAGTTTTTACTCAGTTTCTTCCTCTTCTGTTCCAAACACTAACCTCTGACCTGGCCAATGACATGATTTGTTGACGTCTGTCACCATGGTGACTTTTGTTGGGCTACATAATGTTGCAATTTTATGGTCTGCTCTACTCCTGTCACCATTTACTCGTAGTACATGTATGTGAATGTCTTTAAGTAAAAATTAACAGGGCAGACCATGTCCGAAGGTAAACATTATGCATTTGCTTTGCAAATGTTACTTCTTTAGTTGTAAATTTTATTTTATTGTGATTTTCTTGTCACAGACATCCTATCATGGCTGACTGGATCAAGATGGAAAGTCACAAGTTTTACTTCACCAAAATGGAGATAGAAGATGTCTTCGTCTTGGACTTCTTCGGCGGAGGAAACATCGTCTCTCCCGAAGACTACTTCAACGTTAAACCATAGTCAATATGGTCAAGCTTCATAGGAGGGACCAGCAAATCGCCATGCGCAGAACTAGATATATTTTGGGACTTATTTTTAGATGATTTTTCCTGGGCAAATTTTGCTCAGAAAAGCCCAGTTTTGAAGTAAGAAGGGCAGAAGAATGTATATTTTCAAAATATGGCCAAAAAGTGTGACCTTTTTCATGGTTTGACCTATCATTGACCTCTAAATACTTGTTCTCTGTGTGGACTGTCCCACTTTGCCAGGGGGTTAAATCCTGGTATCATTTCAATATTTTGGCTGTAGCGCATTAAAACCGTGGAATCGAACTTCCACTATTTGCATCAAAAGACACCTGACAAATCCAGCTTTCCAGTGGGGGTAAAAACTTGAGGTTTGAGATAAAGGTAAATGTATTTTAAAGTGCTTGTTTCTAGTGGTTTTAGCATAGATTTCCAATGGGAAGTCATTATGCTGGTCCCTGCCCTTCAAAAATAGACCATCCACGTGCGCCCTCTATCAGTATTTGTTTCAACTGCAATTGTCTATTACCTTGGATTGAAAACTTGTGGATCAGTTGTACAATTTTCTTAGAAAAAGTTATGAACTGATATAATCTATGCAAATGAGGATCTCCCTTGCTAAACAAAATAATAAACCTTTTCAATTCTCGGCTTTCACGTGACGTCACGGGGCTTGCGTAATACAGGCGGCCGCCATGTTGGTGTACCTCGGTGTAGTGCTATGCAGTGTCAAGACGTTGGCACCGAAGCCATACAAGTAATTAACAGCCACACGATAATTCTGCAGTCTTTGATGGTTGACAGATGACAAGGTTTTCAATGAAATTGTACATTTTTGAGAGGATAGGAAGTCAAAGGATACGATGACAAAGGATATAGGACGACAAAACTTGCGTATGTGTGAACGAACTTCAAAGACTAACGTTACTAGTATCTCCTTCACAGTCCTACAGTGGACAGGATCCGTATGTTGGTCACTCTAGTCTATTTTTTTTCTCAATAAATGAATTAAGAGAGAGAGAGAGGTTCTGGGAAGTGTGTTTTGGACAGTTCTCTGTGCGCGGGTCACCAGTGTGTCTGATTCCTTCTCGCGACAACTTGTGACTCGCTCGCGTAGCGGAATGGTAAACAACAATTTCGAGTGGAGCGGACGGGTTATCCCCAATCAAATTATGAAATCATGAATATTTTTTCAAGCACCAAAAAGTACTCATGTCTCTGTTGGAACCCCATTAGAATGAGAATTTCACATGACGGCTTGTCATCCCTGTTGACAGAAATTTTGTTGGCCGCCTCGAGTTTGCGGGAGTAAATCATCGGCGTTGGGGGGGGAGCCTCCGGGCATAATTTTGTTTACGTACCCGTAGTTGTAGTTTTGCCGTGAAAAAAAGTTTTTGGGTAACCTCTCACAACCTATGCATGAATTAGCTTGTGAACATTGACATTACAATATTAGGGTATCATGATAAGCAGAATCTTAACGCAATTTTAGTGCTAAGATCGGTAATTTTGTTGGGCTGTCAGGGTGAACTCGGAGTTTTAGGGCACTTAGGCTCAAATTGAGTCAGACTGCCACGTGTATCAAAATAAATTCACTTGCACCATGTAAACTATTGTTTAGTCGATGTTTAATGGAAATTCCTGGGTGCCATTTCTGCATGTACAGGAACATTTCTGACCTCGGTGTAGGGAAGATCACGTACGCGATATCCAGCAGCATTGTGTGGCGTCGGGCGGCTTTTGGCGTCAGAAGCCCCGCCCGGTCAAGCCACCAGACCCGACTGTTCCGCGGCCCGCTTGTTGCGTTCTCTCGCCCTTTCGGCCCTCGCCCCTCCTTCTGTTCTTTGCTTTCGTCCCAATCTCTGTACTTCTTTCTTCCTTCTTTCTTTAGTAGGGACCCAGGCAACATTGTGTCGGACCCAGGCGGGTGAAGCTTGCCCAGAGTCTTTGGCGATAGTAACTCGCCACAATCTCGGGATATAATTTTCTGTGGCCGTATCCCCGCGGCTGATCGCAAAAATCCACAATCTGCGATGTTTTTCGGTCAGTTTTTCTTGGTCCTTTCCTTGATTTGTAATCACCTTGGCACACATTGAAAAGATACACTGTGTTTACCACTTTTTTTGACCCGCAACCAGCTACAAAACAATGAATCATGTACATAGCGCATAGGCTACGCGGGGTTGTAGGTACACCAACATGGCGGATAACACCCGTCGCTAAGGTCGGGTCACGTGACTGAAACCCAAGAATATGCCAGCCATAAAGGTTAACATCATTTGGCAAAGGAATTTAGTCGTGGGCCTCATGGTTTGTCAATTGTGTCAACACAAACAATCTATTGTAATAATGCACACCTTAATACGTCGATGAAGGTTAGACACCTAGGTAATACGATACGTCAAAAAACAGTTACTCAAGCAACTGGATATGATTTCAAAATCATATCCAGTTGCTTGAGTAACTGTTTTTTGACGTATGTACACCTTAACATTGGATTATGATTAGAATCTTGACATGTTCTATAAGAACTAAGTTCTTTTTTGCCATCCCTGCATCGATTCTGCAATTTGTAGGTCCTGGTCTTGATTTGCATAATTTTGATGTATACATTCATGTCACTCTTTAATGCTCACAAGTTGTTGTCATATACTTCAAATAAACAAAACACTAAGCGGGCAAAACTTCTGAGTTTCTTTTTTTAAAAACTGTCGTGTCCTTTGCAGTAAAGTATGGATGATTCAACTGACATTTCTTGTTGAGAAAAAAATTACTTTTTATGTTGTTCTAAAGTTGCAAAATGCAGCTTACAATTAGGAATTTAGCACTACAGCTTTTTATAAATAATATATTACGGATTTGGAACTGTCCCTACCTTGCTATAGTAAACAGCGCTACTATATACTATGGACTGCAGCTGTCCCTACCTTGCTGTAGCAAACAGCGCTACTATATACTATGGACTGAAGCTGTCCCTACCTTGCTGTAGTAAACAGCGCTTGTCACTATATACTATGGACTGAAGCTGTATCTGCCGTGCTGTAGTAAACAGCTGTTACTACATATTATGAACTGATCATGAAGCTGTTCCTACTCAGTTAAGTAACTAGATATTATGGACCGAAGCTGTCCCTACATTGCTAAGGCAAACAGCTTCTGTTACTATATACTATGGATTGTAGCTGCCCCTACCTTGCTGTAGTAAACAGTTTCTGTTACTATATACTTTGGAATGTAGCTGTCCCTACTTAGCTGTAGTAAACAGCTTCTGTTACTATATATTATGGATTGAAGCTGTCCATACCTTGCTGTAGTAAACAGCGGCTGTTACTATATATCATGAACTGAAGCTGTCCATACCTTGCTGTAGTAAAAAGCGGCTGTTACTATATATTGTGGACTGAGGTTGTCCCTACCTTACTGTAGTAAACAGCGGCTGTTATGTGGACTTAAGCTGTCCCTACCTTTCTGTGGTTAACAACGGCCATTACTATATATTATAAACTGCTCCTACTTTGTGTAGTAAACAACGATTATATATTATAAATTGAAGCTATCCCTACTTTGATGTAGTAAACAGCAGCTATAATTACAGTTACTATTATCACGGGCTAAAGCTGTACCTACCTACCTAGCTGTTACTACATATTATGGACTGAAATCCGCCCTACCTTGCTGTACTAAACAGCGGCTGTTACTATATACTATGGCTCGTGTCCTTACCTTGCTGTAATAAACAGCGACTGTTACTATATATTATAGACTTACGTTGTCCATTACCTTGCTGTAGTAAACAGCTTCTGCTACTATATATTATAAATTGAAGCTGTCCCTACCTTGCTGTAGTAGACAGCGGCTGTCAGTCGTTTGTCGGAGCTGCTGTGCCACCACAGGTTGATGACGTGGTTGGGTAGCCAGCACAGGGTGAACAGCACCACCACACCAATCACCATCAGCGTGCTTTTCTTGGTCTACAAATTCAAATTGGTTTATTGCACAAAAGCATATTGCAGCCTGACGGCTGAATTGCATGCTCATTTACAGTCAATGGAATAATAGACTTTGATGAATTTTTAAAACAAGTACAATTCTAAAATCATTATGCAACAAATTTAAAATCACATTAAAAGCAGTAACTAAACAATATGTAGTTATATAAACTTAGTCAACTAATATCTGGAGGAAGTCTCAGTACCATAGTAGTCAGTCCATAAAATCGTGAGAAGATTTTATACAATCGTAGCCTAAGCAGTTCATGTGTTAAATATTCGAGACATAGAGTCGTTACAACTGAGAGTCATTACTGTAGTAGAGTCTCAAAGCTCGTGGTATGAAGGACATTGAATGTCTTTTGCTTTTACTTCTCATTGACTGGTGGTGAATTAAGCAAATATGTTGATTGATTTTCTGTTATCAGGAATGCACACGTTGTGGGCTTGTCCCTAAACCCATTTAGGCCATGTTGATTTGATTATAAGGATGACATCCGCGCGCGCATGAATTTTCGGCCGTTTCCAAAAAAAAAAAAGTTTTCAACCATACTGTAAATCGTACAAAACAGTTGCAAAATGAGCAAAAATATACCATAAGTTACAAAAAAAAATTAATAAAAACTATACCAATGTCGTAGAATGCCAAAATCAAACGAAAAAAGACGAAATTGTAAAGAAATGAACTTGAAGACTAGATTATTCGCCAAACCATATTCTGTGCCATTTGCTCAACCCTCATGACCACGTAGATTTCATAATGAAATAACTTTTTTTTTGCAAAACTTTTTTTTTTATTCGCACGCGCGCATCAGTTTTGGGGCTACCGGAGGATGTCATCCATATAATCAAATCAACATGGGCTTAATAGGAACAGCGTGAAAAATGGTGTTACTAATGAAGATAGATGCCGGGGTAGTCCGGTATTCGTGACTTTTGAATCTAATTATGACCATAAGTACACCAATTCCCCGACATAGATTGTAGCTAAGGCCACAGCAAGTAATTTTTATGGATGACATCAGCGCCTGATTTAAAAAAAAACAAACAAGACATTTTGCTGCCTTCTGATAGTGGTCAACATACCGAAAATGGGCACATAAACTCCCTGGCACTTTTGATCAATTGCTTACGTCACGTATCAGTAAAATCTCGTGTGAACAAGGTCACGTGTTTGTAAACCGTAACTCTCGCGAGATCACGTTGTGAAGTGATTGGTCATTAATTATCCTGATGATGGTGACAGTGGTCGCTGAAAATTTGATCCTTGCACAATTGTGTGTTGGAATAAAGTTCAACCTTTTACTATGATTACTACCAACACAGATGAACTTTCATGAAAATATGTCTGTTGCTATGCCGTAAGATGGATGGCAGATAACTATGAAGAGAGGAGACAAGAAAAGGCTCTGATTTAATGTTTTGTTTCTTACTTTGATGCAGTGATATGTGATGCTGGCTGTGTGTATGTGATGCTCCCGCTGAATCAAAACCATTTATACAATGATTGAGTCAACATTTTAGAATGAAGGAACCTTGTTTTTTTCGGCCCGTCTTGTTTTTTTTTTCGCCCGCTCGCATTAGATTTGAAGTCTGGGGAGGGCGTCATCCATACATTTACTTGCTGTGGCCTAAAATGATACCTGGAGGTATATATCCAGGGCTCTCTCCACCAAAACGAAATTTACCAAAAGCGATTTATGCACACAAGAAATATAACCTGGCGACGTTTTTTTTAACAACGCAGCACCAAGAAATGATTTTACAATCATACGTTACGGGCGTATCTCAAAATCTACAAAAAAACAAATATAAACTTCATCCCTAGACATAATGTGACGCATGTAAATTCACTTTTTTCCACGCTTGTTACTAAGGTACACGTACCCCACACAACAGTATAGGAAATAACTCGATATATATGCTAATTTCTATTGAAAAAGGTGGCATTATTTTCCTCTTAAATTGATAATTCTACAATAAATTACCCTTTCGTCGTCTAAAAAGCGTTTGTCAGTTTCTTTATCATAGCTTTGCAGAAGGAACATATTATTCCTGCTCTGTTTCTTTTCTTTTCTTTTGCAAACACATAAGGTCAATGACCTGGACCAGACGCTGCCGTCATGGTAACTGGTGCTGTAGCAGACACGCTGTGGTGTTTGGCTACATCATAATGCAAGGCAGAGCTGGAGGGGATGGTCAGCATATACTAGTAACGTTTTGTATTTGAGCAAGATAAGAATAAAAAGCTAGAGCAGTAGGTTTTTTAGGCTAAACCATCTGAAGGTAAAAAAGATTTTCAAATTTTACCCCTCTTTTTTCGCCAAAACATTCGTATCAAACAATGGCAACCTTAGAAGATGTGACACAAACAAGTGTTTTATTCAACCGACGTTTCAGTGACCGTCTGTCACCTTCCTCAGGGCAATTCTGACCGGTTAAAATTGAGCAGGCATAGCTAGGTGCCGCTGCCATAAATGTAGTCCCAAACGTAAAATATTAACACATGTACACGCATCTAGATCTGTAGCAGCGACACCTGTGCTGCTGCGCAATGTGAAACAGTCAGAATTGCCCTGAGGAAAGTGACAGATGGTAACCGAAACGTCGGCTGGATAAAAAAAAACTTGGTTGTGTAAAAATAGTATCTTTATTTAGTGACTTACCAACCTGATGAAACTAGCACTAACCTTTGAAGACGTTTTAGAGTAATTGCTCGAGAAATTCACGGTTCAGGCAAAAGTAGATCGGAAAATGGGGGTCAGCCAAATCGGCGCGTACTTTGGATGTATAATGGATAAGTGGAACTATAAACAGCCATATGATTGTAACCTTCCAAATTGGCACAAACCTTAGAAGACGTTTTAGTGTAATTGCACGAGAAAACCAGGCTGAAGTCGATTATAAGATGGAGGTCGGCCAGATCGGCGCATACTTTGAATGTATAATGTGTATGTGGAACTATCAACAGCTATGGGATTGTAACCCTCCAGGTATTTTTCGTTATGGTGTTCTGGGTCCCCCTCGGAGACCCTAAAAAATCATACATTTTTAATTACGGCTGAAAATTGCTGAAATTGTAACAGCTATCCTGATGATTCTGATAAAGATAATGACACAACTTTTATATTTCCATTCATCATGAGTACCCTAGTTTTACAAAACAAAGTTGAACGACGAAATATTAATATTATTAATATTTTTTAGAGTTGAAACTTTATATCCAACACAAAAAGTTCTCTCACCTAGAGCTTTTGATCAGTCACTCTGGTCTTCCTCAGTAGACTGACCCAATGAGGCTTGTCACGTCAATACTGGGTGAAAGGTATCTGGTAGACGATGTCGGCCTCCGTATTAATATTGATTATTAGGCTACACCGATTAAATTTTATGGATGACATCCGCTCGCGCATTGATTTTCACCTGTTCTTGAAAAAAAAAATATCACGTCCACCGATGCTCTGGCCTGGCTCTAGGCCTGGGTAGCCCATGTTAGTTAGCGACAATACGGAGGTGGTAACTCTTGAGGATGGCACCCAGGCTACTGAAACTCCACGACTCAAGAACATACGTATAGTGCCGATTCATAAATTCCGCAAAAAGCCAGCATGTGCCGGCTTGTCGCATACGTCGCTAAGTACTGCTGCAAATTCACAATACCAGCTTTGTATTCCTGTAGTTTAGTAGCAGTTTTATTTTTGGCCGGAATTGTTGTTTTATTCGCCCGCGCGCACTAGTTTGTGGGTCTTCACTGAGGATGTCATCCATAAAATTACTAC